TTCGTAACTAGAGGTACCACTGTATTTGTTTATTTGATTTATCCCTGCCCATCTCCCCCCAATGGGGGACTCTGTGCGGTTCACACAAAACATTAAAACCATAAATACATATAAATACATAAAACATACAAATTTAAAAACATTACTAAAAAAGAGAAAAAGAGTCCAAGAAGATGATGAAGGATTTATGTATCTTTGCCTCCTTTGGGGGATAGGGAGAAAGATTTAAGTTTAGGCTTTATTATTTGTGTCTTCCCCTCCTCGATTTTCCAGTATGTTGGTGTTTGTGCATGTGTATGAGGGAGGGCCCCTGTGTGTCTTTGAGGAAGAGGGAGGGAGGGAAGGCATGTGTGTCTGCATGTGTGTGTGTGAGGAACAGGGAAGGAGGGCATGTGCATGTGTGTATGCTTGAAGAAGAGGGAGGGCGTGTGTGTGTGTGTATGAAGAAGAGGGAGGGAGGGCTTATGTGTGCATGTGAGGAAGAGGGAGGGAGGACATGTGTGTCTGTATGTGTGTGTGTGTGAGGAAGAGGGAGGGAGGGCACACTCTGGTTTTCAGGGGGGAGGGGAAGGCAAGGAGGGAGAGGATATCAAAGACTGGTGCTGAATTTGGATGCAAGTCTGCCTGGAGGGCACAAACAATCATCCCACATCCAAAAGTTTTACAAAGGGCATCAAAAGTTACTTAAGATAATATTGTATAGAAGACGGAAGTAAAATTGTAAGTCATGGTCATCTGATTTTTTGCTTAGCAACTGTGATGCTTTGCTTAACAATTGAAGGGGAAGTAATAAGTCCATTGTGGTCATGTGATTTTTCACTGAATGACTGCTTCATTTAGTGACCAAGTTGCCAGTCCCAACTGTGGTCACTAAGCGAGGACTACCTGTATCCAATGCACATTTGACTGATGGAACAAAAATGCCTTGAGACAAATGAGGATGTTTGAATAAATGTTTCAGAGGCATAAAAATTTATTAGGAGTGCTTCAAAAATAAAAGCTATAATATGCACACTTATTAATCTTATTGATTAAACTGTGCATGTTGTTTCTTCTATTTTATATTCTTCAAGTAGCTTGCTAAAATGAAATTTGCACACAAATTTAGAAGCTAAATACTCTTTACATTAGTAAATCAGGGTTTAATACTAAGAATCCTGTTTTAGGTAAGAATTCCATTCATTCTGCTATAATTTCTTAATGAAATTAAATATTTATTTAATTTAAATATACTTGTTTTAATTATTACTCTACAATGCTTGGATGTTATCTTTTTACAAAGTTAAAACTATTATTAGATTTTTATCCCGCCTATATTTCTATCCTTATCTCTATATGTCAACTCAAGGTGGCAAACATACCTAATACTCCTGCCTCCTGTTTTCCCAACAACATCCCTTTGAGGTGGGTTGGGCTGAGAAAGCGTGACTGACCCAAAGTCACCCAGCTGGCTTTCATCCCTAAGGGAGGCCTAGAACGCGCAGTCTCCTGGTTTCTAGGCTAGAACCTCAGCCACTACACCACACTGGCATACATGCACGCACATGCACGCACACACACACACACAAGCATGCATGCACATATCGAAAGTCATAGTTTCAAACCTCTGCTCCCCAGGCACGAAAAGCCTTTTCTAGCCGTAATGTATTCATCGCATATGTTCCAAAGTTGTCAATTCCTTCTTCATAGCCAGCTTCCATGATTGTAGAATATAAAGCTATAGTATCTTCTCGTCTGTGGTACAGTTCCCACCCTAGTTCACCTATAACACAACGAAGACTAATAACTTTACCAAATCTAGGATTAAACTGTAGCCATCAAAACTTTAACCTGAAAAGAAATTTGGAATGATCTTTTTTTATAGCTAGATTATTTGATAGCTGTTACATTTTTAGAAAAAACAACTATTCTATTTATGAGACTAATAACTTCCTTCCACTTACCTGTGTAAGAAATTCTAATTGCAGTAACAGGAATGTTAGCAATGTTTAAATGCTTGGACTGCAGAAAACTAAATGCAGCATCACTAAGATCTTCAGATGTTAGCTTCTGGAGAACTTTCCGTGCATATGGACCTGCTACACCCAATACTCCAATTTCATCTGTAATATTTTTGATATCAACATTATATTGTCCTCTAAATGCCTCCTCTTCAATCCATCTGAATTTAAAATAGAATTGTTATTAGATCAGAACAAAAGAGTCTTTAAAGTGTTAGATAGAGGACTAGAAATTATATAGAAAGTAAGAGTAATACTGATAGACCCCATTCTTTTAGAATTACCGAAAGTCAATGGTGCTAAAAAGGATGTTATGATAGGACCCTCCAATTAATATTAGTTTTAAATAGCTCAGAAGGAATATATTCTCCTCCTTCTCCTTTACCTGTTTTCATTTTGTTTTTATGCTACTAGTTTTTTAATTTCTGTCCTTCTAACTGATAGCCAGGCTGGGAGATTCAATTGTGAGAGATCATTGGACAGGGCAGAATTTATATCTGCTTCTGAGGCAGAAAGAGCTTGGAAATGCAATTCCTAGCTAACTTCAGAGATATAACAGGTTAGCCCAGGGCCTCTCTTGTTGTCTTTTCAGCTACAGCTACTCAGTAGATCAAGAAATACGATGATTGAAGAACCTAAAGCATGGGACAACTCCAGCAATCACTTCCAGGAAAAAAAATTCCTTGGGCTTCTAGGACAAGATTAGCACACCCACTACTTGCTTGATGCCATAAGGAAGGAAAGGTTCAAGCAAAAATGTTACAATATGCCCGTAAGGTTTTTTAAACCTATAACTTAACTGAGGCTATTGCGAAATTTTCCATTGCTAATATTTTATCAGTGGGCAGCCCATTAAAATTACTTATTGTAATCATTCAACATATTTACTCAAACATGTCATAGTCCAGTGCAGTATCCTTTTATCCAAACACAACTTTATCCACATAGTACTTTCTCACACACTAGTGAACAAGACTTCTGCATTTTATGAAACCTTATGAGCAAGTTACTCTCAAGATTTTATTATACACATGCACGCACACACATATGCATACACACATACACACACAAAGACACATATTGATTCACAAATTTGTCTTTGATAAAACATTATTATCATTATAAGTACCAACCCACTTTTAAATGTAAAATCCACAGACTATGCACATATACAGCCTTTTTTGATTATCCTGAACTGCAGTTCATCTCACATTCCTTGAACCACAAGTTACTTTTAAAACTTCAGTAGTTAAAATGTGCACTGACCTCAAGTCATGAAGCTCTGATCCAGAACCAGTAATTAATAAAAATTCCCCTGGATTCAGATGAGAGACTGTGAGTTCAGCATAGACTTTGCCTTTTGAGGTCAACATATGACTTATATTTGTGAAACCCACCTATGCAGAAAGAAAGCCAAAACTGTAAGTTAAAATTATCAATTATATAGTAGCATACAAACATGTAATACAAATTAAGTTTTTATAGCACAGCCTGCAAATATTACTGAATTAAGTATACTTATTCTTCTTCTGAGTTTATATGTTCTCTTTTTTTCCCTAATAGAAACATTTTCTATCCACAATTAACTGGAAAACATTTATTCCATGTAAATTTGTAAACTCTTCCCCTGACCTTGCACTCTTTGGCAACTCATTGTTATATTTTCTTTTTGAGAAAAATCACAATAACTACAATAATTTTATGTTTTCTTTTTATTTATGTTTGAGTGTTTTATGGTTTTGTTATTATGTTTGTATACTGCCCAGAGTCACGTTTTGTGAGATGGACAACTATATAAATCTGCTAAAGGAAGGAAGGAAGGAAGGAAGGAAGGAAGGAAGGAAGGAAGGAGCTTGCTCCGCTCTTCTTCCCAGCATATACTCACAACTAATAGGATTAGGTCTACATCTGTCTGTTTAAGTTGGAATGGATTTTAACTATCTATACATTGGAAGTATTATTTACATGATACCTATATACAGTGAGTGTCTCATTTATACATATTTGATCCATACAACCACTACCCCATTCCTTAGTAGAGTTAACACAACTGTATGCAAGATGCATTTGCCCCAATCCAACATATTGTGGAAATGAGCCGAGCCCAGAAATGGGCCAATTGCATCTAAGTAGTGGAGAGATTATGACCCCATTAAGTTACCACACCTGAAATCAAACTACAGAAAGTATTATTGCATTATTGGCTTTTTAAAAATGCAAGGGAGAGTCCGTTCTAGATCGCTTTGTACTCAACTATGCCCTGTCATTTAAAACAGGGAAGGCAGTGGCAATTAAGAAATGTGGTAGAAAATGTCAACAGAGTGAGGAAGGCAGTGTGATGTGATATACTGACCTCCATGGTCCCCTGCAGCTCCAGAATTGTTCATTTGTAAAAGCCAACTCTATAATCAGTCCTAATTGGATGATAGGGTGCTTATCTGGTTGGGACCTTTGATTCAGCACCTCTGGGTATAAAGTTATGAAATGAATGGAATCAACAGTAGACTACTTATTATTACTACATCATTTACCTTTGGGACCACATTTGCAAACAGATGATCCAAAAGTTTAACTGAATCACTGCCTTTGATGCTAAACTTGCCAAAAGGAGTAAGGTCAATCACACCCACTTTTTCCATCACTTGTTTATATTCTCGACCTACAGGTTCAAACCAGTTTGTGCGTCGAAAACTAGGTCTGGAAAAACAATATTTCAATGAATTTGAAAAAAAGCAAGCACATGACTACTATTTCCAAGTTAGGATAAAGCAATTTGTTCAAAAACATAGTCTTAGTATTCTTTTTTTTCCCTTTCTTTTCAAATAAATGTTAAGTATATGTATCCTGATTAATGTATTAACTACTTTTCAAAATGCTAATATAGTATTGAATTACAATGAATAATAGAGATCAAATAAAATATATTTTATACTGAAAGCAAAATGCTTGATTTGTCAAAAGATGACATAAAAATACAAGAATAATATGCTCTTAAAGGTACTTTTCATACTATTTAAACAGAAACAAAGAAGTTCATGTACATATCCTAGATTAGTAGTGAAAACTGATGGATCACTTATTTTTTCTTAGTCTGTCCAATTTCTTAAGGTTACAGTAAAGATAGGGAAAATATTTAGGCTATTCTGAACATTTTAGAGGAGGATATAAATGTAATTAATATTATTAACATACCACTTATTAAATAACATAAAATACAGTAAACCCTTGATTTAATGAACAAATAGGACAGAAGGGGTGTTCGTTAAACCAGAATGTCCATTAAAATGGGATTTTTATGCAAACAGGCAGTCCCCAGGTTAAGAATGAGTTCCGTTCCTAAGTCTGTCTTTAACTCAAATTTGTATGTAAGTTGAAACTCATACTTATGAACGGGCTGCCTATTACTAAAAATGGCAGATGGGGTTCTCCTTCCTCGAGCTGACGAACCGCTGAAGCCGTGCAAAGTTTTCAGGAACTGCTGAAAACAGGCTGTATATTAAAAACATGTAGCTTCAGCAGTTCGTGAAAACATTGTGGGGCTTCAGTGGTTCATCAACTCAAGGAAGGAGAATGCCAACTGCCATTTTTAGTAATAGACAGCCTGTTCATAAGTATGAGTTGTCCATAAGTCAGATGTTCTTAACCCAGGGGCTGCCTGTATATATTTTACTTATTTTACTCATGTGTAAAATGGGAATGGGATTTTATATATGCACGGAAGTATACGGTATAGGGCCAGATTTTGTCTTTTGCATCTGAAGTCCCTACACCAAGGTCCACACTAAATCAAATGTTTACTGTATGTACAAAAAGCTACCAAGCACAAATGGACAACACAACATATTTCCATTAAATTCTTAAAGATAAATCAGCAGCACAGATATTTAATTTTCATTTACTTGTATCCAATTTCATCACCATGTTTGTAGAACCAATGAGGCTGTTCCCAGCCTGCATGGAATCCCATGGAGCATTTACCCTTAAGGATTTCATAAAGCCCACTGACTCTTTCTGTAGGTCTCCCAGCAAATCTTTCTTCTTTAGGAAACCCAACTGCAAAATTAGGAAAATAGCACATTAAACCAAATCACAAGAAAAACAATAAACTAAAACACATATACAAAGAAAAGATTTGCTTCCAAAACCTTGCAAGAAGGCCACACGTGATTTGGACAAGGCCAAGCACAACTGGGGCAAGGGGTGGGTGCAGCCTCGGGAAGAAGACCTGGCGTAGCTAGCAGCTGCCTCACGAAGGGCCAGGCCAGGTGCACCTTGTCAGCAGCAGCAGGAAGAAGATCAGCTGGGGGCAGCAGGGACAGTGAGCGCAAGGCAGCAGGGTGGTAGGGCCTGCAGGCTGGCAGGGTGAGCGGAGTGCAAGGTGGCCAAAAGGGCAAAGATGGGGGGAGATAGGCGTGTGGGCGGAGTTGAAGTGTAGGCAGTCCCTTACCTTACCAAGGCTTGGGGCTAAGAGGGACTAAGCTGGGAGTGGCTTGGATCGGGGTGGGACCTCGGCTAACGACTGGTGGGATTCGATTAACAACAGCAACCAGGACTGCTCGGACTACTGTCGCTAAGCGATGCAGTCATGTGACATCGCACTTTACAACTGCATCACTTAATGATGAAAATTCCAGTCCCAATTGCCATCGTAATTCGAGGACCATCTGTAGTTCACACCGACACCATTCACCATACCACTCCATACCTTTCCATCCTCACTTCATCACATCCATATACTAGTTAATACATTATCTTTTATTCTTTAAGACTCTCATTTCTCTTTTTTTGAGAAGAGTTTCTCAGTCTTTCCTTTCTCTGGATTTATTCTCTCTTCCTTCATATATTTGATCTCTAATATAGCTCCCACTCATTCTCTCTACACAACCAAACAATCTCAAGATACTTTTTTTGTACTGGTCATTCACTTTTGTATTTAATCCACATTCTTTCAGCACCCATTCATTCTTGACCCCATCTCTTGTTTTACTACAAACATTTCTTAACCATGCTGACTGCATGTAACCTACTGTTATATTTACTCAGAGCTACCCACTTGTCATATACATACAGGTAGTCCTCAACTTACAACCATTCATTTAACAACATTAGAAGTTAGGATGGCACTGAAAAAAGTGACTTATGACTGGTCCTCGCACTTATGACCATCTCAGCATCCCTGTGGTCACGTGATCAAAATTTGGGTACTGGGCAGCCAGCATGTATTTAAAATGGTTGCAGCATCCCAGGGTCACGATTGCCATTTGTGACCTTCCCAGGGGGCCTCCAACAAGTAAAGTCAACGAGGGAAGCCAGATTCACTTAACAACTGCATGATTTGCTTAACGACCATGGCAAAACAGGTCATATAATCAGGTGCGACTCACTTAACAACTGCATCATTTAGCAAAGGAAGTTCCGGTCCCAATTGTGGTGATAAACTGAGGACTACCTGTATAACCAGTAGTCAGTAGTGTGCTCTTATAAACAACAATTCACAGCAATATGCACTTATTTCACAGCAATTTGTAACAAACATTTGTTCCTCACAGCACATCTCAAACTACCTGCTACCTTTCTACCACCATTTGTACATCTTAAGATTTCTTCATCCATTTCCCTACTACTTGCTCTTTTTGCCATTTATTTATAACTTGTGAATGGATCTAGTCATTTGGAATCCACTTATTCTCATTCATGCTTTATTTCCATCATGTGCTCTTAGCGCATTCAGCACTCAACTCTCAAAGAGTCATATTTGCACAAATCATTCCATAATTCAAGCCCATAAGCTTTATCATAGGCTTTTTCTACATAAACAAATGTACACTGTACACTGTATATAAATAGAAAGCGGTCAGTCATTACCGACTCTGCAGTGACTGCTTGGACGAGTCCTTGCAGTTTTCAAGGCAAGGTGTTTCGGAAGTGATTTTGCCAGTGCCTCCTTCCTAGAGCAGAGCCCAGCTGGCGAGTGCAGGAGGCAGGGTTTCCGTTGCTTCGCGCCATTTTTGGGCGCGTGCGGTTTTTCGCGCTTACCAGCAACTGCTCCCCACTCCTTTTTGCAAGGCGCCGCCAGCATTTTTCCTCCCATCGGAGTGAGAGTACCCATTTATCTACTCACGAACTGTTGGGTTTACAGGAACT